CTGTTTACGTCAGAGTCTGCTGGCCTTTTAATCTTGATAGTAACGTTCTGAGTCGATATTAGCCTGTCTCAATAATCTCATTATTTCCACGTTTACTCCAAAAGTTGTTCGATTTGCTTTCAAAGCAAAAGTGCTATTTCCATCCAGAGCTCGTGATGGTAAAACGTGAAATTCCACATGCTCTAAAAGAGTTCAAGACCGTTTATTGAATGATTGATAATCTTGTAAATGAAAAGAGGGTCACTATTTCCTCTTTGTTTAATCAAGAGACTCATATCCATTGAATCATAATATTTGAGTACGAGTATTTCATTCCTATTCTATGAGAGCAATACATGAAGAAGCTAAGTTGTACTATTTCATTTTTCTTGATGTCAACAAGTAACCATAACTAATGAGGAAAATGAAATATTCAATGCAAGAACAAAATCTTTTGAATATCTCCTGATTGAACCAAAGGTTATTGGACTGAAGAGTCACTCCGGAATCTTCAATCAATGTGAGTGTTTCAATCTCAGTTTTGTTGAAATCGTACTCTTCTTCTTTTTCTTCTCTGCACAGGTGGGCGGGTGCGTAGACCCCTGCACTCAGGCCTCTTCAGTCGGGCCCATTGTGCGCCCACTTGTCATGTGAATCAGCTGGGCTTTGACGAAATTCAGCAGCTTCCTCAGCTGAGTCACTTTCACATCCTTTGGGTGCAGTACAATGCTCCCAAAGGCAGCTTTCCTCTGATGCACCAGCGCGGGGCATTCAGTGAGTATGTGTGATGATGTTTCATCATCCTCCAAGCACCATCTGCAGATGGGATCATCTTTGATCCCTATGAGTTCTAGGTGCCTGTTGAGGTGGTTGTGCCCAGTTAAGAGCCCAACTACCATCTTGAGATCCCTTCTTTTAAGTGACAGAATCTCTCTCGTGAGCCTTTTTGAAGGTTCCTTTATATGGATCGAGCTTTGATTGTCTCATTCCTGGTGTGTCCCGCCATGTTTCAAGGAACTTCCTCTGTAGCATTTCCTTCATGAAGGACATAGCCGTACTATTGGGTATTCCCAGTATCGGTTCTGGTCCAATGGGTGTCGTTCCTGAACCGATCTTGGCTAGTCTGTCTGCCTCCTCGTTCCCCGGGATACCAGAGTGTCCTGGAACCCACATGAGGCTGACTTTCCTAGTTTTTGCCATATTTTCTAAGGCACTTCTACACTCGGACACCAATTAAGTTGTGATCCTATTGGATCTCAATGCCATAATATACTCGTATACTCATAGTTCACTGTTTCTACTGTTGTTGAAAACTGATTACTCCACAAATATGATGATCAATAGGTACAAATATTCAATTTGGAAATTGAGTCGTCTTCAACAGGATGTAGATATCATTATGAATATACCATTTCACTAAAAATCGCCTCTATGAAGTTGAAATGAAACATTGAAAGTTTCATGAATTGTTATTATTACGAATCAGGCGTTTGATTATATACACTTCAACAAATAATTCAAGCTCGGAGATGAATCATTAAACATATTTATTTCAAAACAAGTGTCAAAATATTTTTCGAAGAATCAATTGATTTTTGGTAATCTCTGATCTTATGTTCGATTAGCTATTCCTTCATTTTTCAACCGAAAATTGTGACTTCTTTCCAAATTTATTTCGAACGAATCTCACATGATGCAATCTATTTCAAGTTCCCAATTAGAAATCACCTCTAACAACTTCATCACTCTCATAATGTTTCTATAGCCAATGTACATAGAACATGAGTACGAATCACCAATCATTGATAGAAAATGGCAACATGGCGATTTACCAACACCAACTCTCGGAAAATCAACAACAATGGTAGATTTCGAAAGGAAAACAACTACATTCCTGGTTAATCTCACGCAAAACATTGAATCACATCCTCCCGAAATCTATGCATCGACTCGTATAAACGAATACTGATACAAGTGATTATTTAGTGAATTCCTATTGATTTTGATTTAGCCAGGCCACGCTAGACACCTACACACCGGTTTCGAGTTCTTTGACTCTCATTAGTGCAGGGCAGTCTCCAGCCAGCATACCTATGACCACGGACTAAGCGTAGCCTAGCCAAACATTAATCAAGTCGGCACTATATTTCCTCAGAGGCGTCTTCCATAGACAATATGAGAGCAACGTAATCTGAGTAGAAAAAATGGAAAGAAACAATCCAAAATCGGAATTCTCATAAGGGAGTGGCTGGTTGCCCGACTAGTTTAATTTCAACTAAGGAATAACCACAATGCTCAAAGTGGAATGACATGTTGAATAAATACAAAAAGTCCTTTCCACACAAGGTTCATAGAATGAACAACAATGGTAGATTTAGGGAGAAAACAACTTCCTTCTTGGCTAATGCCACGCAGAACATTGAATTACATCCTCTTCATTACATATTCTCTGAAGAAATTGTGATGCCTTTTGTAACTCTTTTGAGAGATCGCTGAGAGCGCAATATCTCCTTCAAATGTCTGCCGCCTACAATGAGCACAGCGAGGTCTTGAAGATATCCCTTGCAGGAATTATCATACGATCCCCTAATTCGCATCAATCGCCACTTGCGAGGTCTTGAAATGCTCGCGACTACGAGCTGTTTGACCTATTCTGAAACATAGCCTTGTGATGAGGACATTGGGAGAATTGCTTCGATTGCTACGAGTGCTCACGACTTCGAGCTTTTCAAGATATTCGCAGACATAGCCTTGTGACATGAACTTCAGGAAATTCGCATCAATTGCTAATGGCAAACTCTTCAAGTGCTCGCAACTATGAGTTATTCAAGAATCCGTGCACATCGCCCTATCAAGAGGATTTTAGGAGCGACATTCGCATCAATCGTCACAAGATCGCCAATGATGTGGTATGTTGTTCGCTCTTGTATTCTCTAGAAAATATCAGAAGAGCCCAATAAGTTTAGTTTAAACAAATGACAAAACGTTGACTTTATGACATCCAGTAATATACGTCAATATGAAGTCATGAAACATGATATCATTCTTAGGTCACTCTGGAGTCTAGGATGAAATGAGCAATAATGGCCTCTGAAGAAGACGTCATCATGGCGTCATTTTACTAACCTGTGCTACCTGGGACACAGCGTGCGATACAATCGAATTATTACAGGAAACATGTTTGATCAACGAATGATTTCGCGAAATGGACCTCTGTATTGGTCTCAAGTTGCAAGTCTATACTAATGATAATAATAATATTTTCATCGCTTGGAAGCCATTCTTTATGTTGAATCATATTTGCACTGATGTAAAATGGTTGCTGAAGACTTCAATGTTGTTTCTGTCAGAACATTTCATGGACGCTCTAGAAAAAATGTAATGAATCGAAATCTTGATTATTGTAAGCTATAATTAGTAACGTGAATATAAAATAACAAAATATTTCACTGTTCCTCAGTCACAATCGGATAAACTATATGTCCAACCTAGCGGACGCCATGCATTTCATGACCTGATTATTTTACTTTTCGTTTCCAGACTGTTCTTTTTGATGACGTGGTTGGTTATTCACATGAATTCCGAACAATTTTCGAAATCCTGGAGGATTCCGAAATTATAATTATTTTGTATTTCTTTCCAGGAAACAAGTCCGGTCCAGCATTTTTCATTTGATGATATATTTTCTCAACGACTCTCTGCTGCTATATCAATATGTAAAAAAATTATTTGAATAATTTTGGTCGAATGTAGAAGTACGTAGTGTGCCAGGACGAAATCGAAGAAATATTCATCAGAATTTTGTTTGATATTTTTTTACCAAATCGATCAAATCGTGCCGTACAAATTGAACAGCCACTTGGAGCGTTCTTCCTGATTTTTCTGAGTAGGATAATGGGTTTTGTAGGATACGGTCCACAGGAGGTCATAATTTTGACATCTGAACGTCTCTAAAATTTGTTTTGCGATAACATAGAAGTTCCTCACAGTGCCTTCTTAAGATCATTCCTTGAATGAATATTCTCTAAAATATCATATGTATTCCTTGAATGAATATTTTTTGGAATATCATATATGTACTGCGAATCATGGTTATTTCACGAGAGGGTTAATCCCGATATATGGCCTCAACTGTTCGAAAAAGTGATCGAAAATTGCACTTTATTCGAGCCAGCTGCAGCGCTCATATGCCACAAATCATATTTAATCACGAATGGCATATAATAATCATTCCAATGAAGCTGATAACACAAATGAGGTAATCTTATTGGAAACAAAAGAGTCCCTGAACTGTCCTGATACAAAGGCCATGACCACGATTTTCATGTGTTTTATTCAATTTTAAGGATCTATATCTCTTAAAAAACACCGTCTTTTATATGGAGTGATACTTGCCATCAGATGATTCAGTTTCCTGTTCAATCTTACAATCTGACCGAAATCATCTAACATGTTTCATATTATACACCCTGCCATGCCTCCGTCCATGGATCCAACCCTAATAATCTGCTCCGTGGGGTCGCATCTGTCAATTTTTCAAGTCTAGTTTGGCCTCGTGTCGTGTGGCGGCTTAGTTTGTGTTTGAGATTAATAATTTAAAGATTTCAGACCCGTAACAACAAGAATAGTAAATAAAAGTTTACACTTCATATAAAGTTCTTATAATTCTTCGAGTGAACTGTGGATAATGGTGTTAGAAAGTGATTAACGTGAGGAATCGGATTCTGACAGAAATGGGGATTTATTTTCTGTGATAAGCCTTCTTCACTTCAATGTTCTGTGCTAACCCTTGTGATAATGATGATTGCAAACAATCGAGAGGAAATTCAAGGATGATTCCGTCATAAATGAGACAACGATAACCAAATGACTGAATTTAGTTAGCAATCAAAATAATTTTAATATAATGTCTCGTAAACGTGATAAAAAACTAGTGACTGAAAAAATAACAAGTGTTTATTTGCGTTGTTGAGTGAATGATATATTCTTAGTTCATTTATTTTTGAATTGACAATGAAGTCATTTGATTGCGAATCGTCTTCGGAAGGTGATGAACCTACCCTTCACGCCATCTCGCGTGGACCCAACGAACCGCCCCAGTGGTTGAGGGGTGGTGCAACGCCAAACTGGGGGTGGCAGGCTGCTGTAAGTAGTTTTATATTTATCGATGTTCTTGTAAGATTCTAGAAAACACATAATCAATGCATGGAAGCGTGATTCGAATTTTTTCTAGGTACTTTTACATGAGAAATGCTTTCAATTCCAATATTCTTCTGTTTTTGTCCATAAAATTGGGATGTGAATGTCAGAAAATGTTGACGTTTCGTGTGCCACAACAAACTCGTAACACAACGTTTACATTTGCTTCTAATAGTTATTTATTATACAAGGGAAAAAAGTAGTAGATTTTAGCTTCAGGTTGTGTTGTCTCCCGACGCGTAGCGGAGGGAGACAAAAAACCGTGAGCTAAAATCTAATATTTTTCCCGTGTATAATACACTATTTTTTTCTGTGACAGAAGGAAGGACGAATCAATATTGAGAAGATATTACATTATTTCGAAATCTGAAAATTATCGACGTGAAATTTCAAGTTTTTAACAGTAGGGACACCTGCGTTTTATAGGCATCTTTATCATTCTTTTGAAGTAATCAAATATCTGATGTCACTTCTGTCAGTTCAATTCTGTGATTTGATTTTAAAAAATTGCGAATTCAGTAGTTGTTTAGTAATATACGAAACCGCGAAGTCGAATGGAAGATAAAAGGACTTGCAGTTCTTTCTCGGAGACGGTATTATTGATTCATTTTTCGGAACTATAGCACAACAAAAGCCATTAACAGAGTATATATATGTGATATATATCCGGGAAAGAAGTACTCACTTTTTTCCCACGGGAAAAAAGTAATTTATGAAAAGTTACATTTTATAACCTGCCAACAGTGATGAAATGCCAAACTTTTTTCCCGCCACAGAAAAAAAATAGTTTATTTCATTTTTGTTGCTAATTTAGTTTAAAAGTCAACTTGTCATACAACAATGTATTATGTAAGAAATCTCAAGGAAACAAAATTATATTAAACAATCAGTGGCATTTGAAAAAAATAGTTGACAGTCCGGCGTTTCAGCTGAAATGTGCAAAAATAATGATTAGAGCCTACTAATAGTATCTGATGAGTCATCTCATTTGACCGTTTTTCAGAATCAAATAATCAATAGCGATGTTATAGTTTTTCACCTAATGTCAGTCAGCCTGTGTATATAGATTACCGGCCGAAAAAGAGGAAAAAAATGCTTGAAGGCTTGATCATTGTACAGGAAAAAAAACAAACATTTAACTCTTTTACCTTCAACTTTTCAATGCACTGTGACAAAATGATAAACTGATGCTTTGAATTGAAGTGTGATTCCTTCTTGAGACAAAGCTTTTTGATCCACGTTAATATATTCCTGAGGAAACAATGAAGAATTAAATCTCTTATTTCCACTCATCGATGAAAAAGAACTCAATTTTAAGAAACAAAGATAAAGCAGTTCGGAAAGCAGATCTAGATGTAGTCAATATCGAATATTCCCTCAGCTTGAATTACAGCATTCAACCGCCGTGACATCGAATCGATCAAATTTCTCAAGCGATCTTGAGGATTCACCTAAAATTAATTCTTCTTTATAGGCGAATCATCTTTGGCAAAACCAAAAGAAGACGAATGCCCCTCTGAAGTTCATTCTCGAATCCATCACATAGATGCTCTATAGGTTTTGCATCTTCTTATAAAAAGACGATAAAAAGAGAATATTGATGTGAATAAAAAGAGATCACACTAGAATCCAATTTATAATGAAGCCGAGTTTAACAACTCACAGAGGGAGTTAAGAAGTCAAGGGGGACATAGTAACTTCTGTTTTTCTCTGTAAAAGGATCAAGCCGTCAGCTTTCTTTTTGGAAACTGAAATTCTGGCTTATATGTCGAATAACGAATCTACGATTCTTTCGAAATTTCACCGAAATCGGGAAGGAATCAAAATAATTACAGTGCAGCATTTTTTTTTTCGTTTCTCATGCTGGTGACGGTAATACGTATATGAACTATGTCGTAATTCCGTGAATAATTTGGTTCAAACTTTTCGACTCATCAAAAGATCAGAATTACAAAAAATACCATCATACACCTATGTAACTACACTCAGTTCCAAAAAAAGTGACGCACTTGATATTTGACCTATCTTCTTAAAAAAAATAGTAGGCCGATTTTCATTTTTTTTTTCATTTTTTGGTAGGTAATGCATTTGTCTTGAAAAAAAAATAAAGAGGTGAACATTTTTTCAAAGCCTCCTTGATGGTGGTGGAATGACTCGAACCATGATTTATTCTTAATTTTTGACTCACCCTGTGTGTTAATTGAGTAATGGTATACAAAGTGCTTACAACCTATACGAAAGAGGTTTCTTTTGCGAGCATTTTGTTTTTTTATTCATTGATTTATCCCTAAAATTTTCCGAATTACAGCTTTTTTGCTGACACCTTACGCTTATCCCATGAATTAAATTTATTGAAGGATCAGAGTACTCAAAATTGATTGGGTTGTACTCTGGTAGGATAACATTGTCTTTAAAAAAATTAATGCCGTTGCCATAGCAACTAATTTGTTATTTGCCTCCATATCTGACCATTTGTCGTTGTGTCATTAATTAAGTGTCTTGTTTTATTGACTAAAATTACATAAAATGCCTCAAATAAATCCTGAACGAGTAGCAAGATTAGTTGCATTAGTAAACGATGGGCGTAGAAAACGTTACGCCGTTCGTGCAGTGGGAGTTCATGAAGCAACTGCTCGTAGAGCAATCCGCAAGTACGTACAAACAGGAAGCACCGCTCGGAGGGTCGGTTCTGGTCGCCCCCGAAAAACTTCTCCAAGAGATGATCGCTTCTTGAGATTGCGGATTTTACGGAATCGATCAAATACTGCGATAAATGTTCAGCAAGATCTTCGCCAAATTCGTGATGTTGCAGTAAGTAAGCAGACGGTATGTAGACGTCTAAAAGAAGTTAATTTGAAAGCTAGGAGACCTGCAAGAGGTCCTAAATTATTGCCCGAACATCGTGCTGCTATAAAAAATTTTTGAAAATTATGGACAGTGGAATATTCCTGAATGGTCGAATATCTTGTTTACGGATGAGTCAAGGTTTTACCTTAACATGGTGGATGGAAGAAAAAGAGTGTGGAGAAGAACTGGTGAACGGTTTAATCAAAATTTAGAAACAGAATGCGAAAGTTTTAATGGTGGGTCCGTTATGGCGTGGGGAAGGATTTCAATGAATGGAAAGACACCCCTTCATGTTTTCCCGGTGAGGCAGTCGATGAATGCCCAAATTTACATTGACATTTCAGAGCAGTATGTCTTACCTTATGCAGAGTTAGTGGGCAATAATTTTATATTGATGCAGGATAATGCCCGACCACACACCGCAGCAATAGTGCAAAACTTCTTAGGAGCTACTGGTATTACCACATTACAATGGCCTGCGAGAAGCCCCGATATGAATCCTGTAGAACATTTGTGGGATGAATTAGGGAGAAGGGTACGTTCTCGCGAGAGGTCTCCGGAAAGTCTCGCAGAAATGGCAGATGCATTAGTGGAAGAATGGGATCATATACCAATGGAAACGATAAGCAACTTAATTTTCATTATGCCTCGTAGATTAGAAGTTCTTAGAATTGCTAGAGGCGGCAATACACGGTATTAAGCAGTCATCCCAATTTATGATTTTGTGTTTAATACAAATGTTTTTTAAAATTTATGGGGATCAGTTCATTTCATTAGAAAATTGTTTCTCGATAAATTCAGAAAGTTGTAATTCGGAAAATTTCAGAGATGAATCAATAAATAAAAAAACAAAATGCTCGCAAAAAAAGCTTCTTTCGTATAGGGTGTAAGCACTTTTTATGCCATTAGTCAATTAACACACAGGGTGAGTCAAAAATTAAGAATAAATCATAGTTCGAGTTATTCCACCACCATCAACGAGGCTTTCAAAAAATTGTCACCTCTTTATTTTTTTTTTTTAAGACAAATGCCGACAATCCGCCTACTATTTTTTTTATTTTAAAGAAGATAGGTCAAATATCAAGTGCATCACTTTTTTTGGAACTGAGTGTAGTTAAGTAGTCTCATTGCCAGTCACTACAGAATCGAATAGACCAACATAAGAAATTGAAACGGCAGCGTCATAGTCGCACTAGACACTAGGTAAATCGCGTTATAGTTCTGTGTGAACATGACAGTTTACCAATGACGTCAGCAGAATGATCAAGTAGCCATCAGAGATGTAATTATTTGAGATGAATATCGGTGTTTGAAATTTATTTGAATGTGGTTTCACTGGATTGAAGGAGTTGTGCGAAAGTAGAAAGTACATACAATGATATAACTTCATGAGAGACTCAATCCGAGACGCAATATATAGGAGAACAACTACACCTTTTCCAGTTGTATTCCTGAAAGCGTCAATCGAGGCGTCAATTGTCTTTCAGAAAAGTCACTTGAAACATCTGTAACGAAATTATTATTGAACGAAATTGCTAGTACACTGACTAATTTTCTGAAATTCTCAAGGAATTTTCCATAGACGTCATTTAAGGGACGCAGGGAGAGGTCATTTCCCCCCTGACCCCCTGACACTACAAAGAGATTATTCCACTTAGATTCTTCATATACATCAGTACTGTATCACTACTTGAAATTGCAAAGACAATTACTTATATAATTTCAAAGTTGTTCAAACATGATATAGGTACTCGTATAGGTATCATACATAAAATATACCTGGATATGAGGAAGCAATTTTTTCTCAAATCTAAAAATTATAATAGACTGATTAACCTGTTCCTGCTATGAGTGATGGTTGTTGAATCAGATACGATGAAAAATTGGAGTGAATCAGGGAATCTTTGAATTATTTTGCTGAATTGGAAAAATGAGTCAGTATCCCTTGCACCCAAAACATTTTGGAACATCCACCTGCTCAGGTAACCTACAGACAGTATCTGAAATACATTTTACTAGCTTTTCCTCGCTTTTCCTATTGTTCCTATTTTTAAAGATCAATTCAAATATCAATTGTAACGAACAGAGAACATGTAACTGAATAATTTGTAATAAAAATAATGTGATGCATTGGTTGCCAGTCTTGAAGATATCTCATTTTCAATTCGAAGGCATTTGACCTTGAATACCCACAAATTTTCGTTGTGATAATAAAGAAATATCTATATCGTCGAGAGGTATCCATTCTACCTTGAACGGTTCAACAACCATTGTCAGTTTCATATATTTGAATTTTGACAATAATCTGAAGATTATTATTCGTAGGGTATTTTGATATTTGCTCCGTGCAATATCAACGCCGGTTTCGCGTAAACCGAATATTTATATTGTGAACTATTTGTTCCTTTTGTTGTGATATCCTTGTGGTCCGCATGCAATCAGCTGCCGGCTGATAACCAAAGAACAGAAAACAACTACACATCGAGACCAGAGCTAGCTCGAAAGATAATCGTGCACAAGGAAAAGGTCATGTGGGCAAGTCACTGTTTTTGCTCGCCACTGATCTTCACCTCTCACCTGATTAGAAAATGAAGTACAATCGCGCCTTTTTTTTATGTTCTGGTTCCCACTAACTGTCGAATCTATACGACTCCTTTCTGGAAACGCAACACAAGATATTGATGAATATTTTTTAAACCTTGGACACCCTATATCTCGGAAACGAAGCATTTTCGGACCCATGTTCATATAAACTTTTTTTTATATGCTGTTGAGAGAAATCTCTCCTAGGCTTTTGTTACCACAACTCTGGAACACCCTGTATAAATGTATACTATCAATAGTGTCACTAAAATTACAGATCACAGAAATTCCGATCTACTTGAGTGGATCGATTTGAATGCACGGTGAGCTGTTGGTCGGGTTCATGGACGTATAACGTCCATGGTCGGGTTTCAAATTGAACGCACCCTATATAAGTAGATTCAAATTTTAATGATTCTTCTCTGAACCTGGAAGAAAACACTAGGGAATACCATGATTCTGTCACAACTATTATTAAGCATTTTCAAGTAGGGTTTCTGAGATTGTTGCTTTATATGCAGTGCAGCTCAGCAGCAGGAGCTGGCTCTTCCCAAACCGCTGCATCCTTGGACCAAGCAGCTTTCCCGACGTTCTCTTCGAGCACGCCGGAAGACCTCCAGGTTCCTGGAAGAAGAACTCCTTTGGGTGCAGTCGGGCTGGGGGGCTTCTATTTCCAAAGCGGGCAGCCTAACATGTCGGTCGGCCATGGACCACCATCTGACGAGAATAATCCAGAGGCTGGATGTTCCACTCAAGGATCTAGGTAGATATTCTCAGAATTGACCTTATTACTACTACCGCAAGGTAGTGGGTTCGATTTCCAGCACGAGCAAGAAACTTTTTTCAATATTTTATTTACGAAATATTGTAAAGTTTCGGAGCATCGGCTGGGGATAGTCCTGCACGATTCGCTGTTGCGTTCCAATTAACAGTGCTGCTCCTAAAGTGGCGCATGGAGTTAGTAACAACGCCTACACATAACACGCAGAAAGATATGATGATGTGGTTGTGAGCATCAGAGTAGAAGTAGGACGGTGTATGTAGGTGGGTGTGGAAAACTACCAGCTGAGCGTGAGAGCGGGCCAGCTGCTTAGTAGACCTCGGTCTCGGGGGTTAACGAGGATAGTTAGCAGGCCTGCCACTGCGCATATGGTAGTGAGTACATTACTAGCCTACAAAACACAGCTGAAAAACTCTGAAAGAGAGCTGATGGGCGGTGCCTGAAAAGGATGTTAGCCAGCTCTCTTGAGCGAACCACATCAGTCATTGAAAACACTTGGGGTTTGCAAAAAGGTCCCATTAGGGACTAGTCGCTGACGTGGAAACGTCCCCCATCAGTACCAGTACCAGTACTACTTTTAGTACCACAAGTCTGCCGATAGATGATGAGGACATCATAAGAGAAGCATTGGAACATGAGCTCAGTTAATTTGAAATTGTTTTGAAAAGGAATATTCTCAGATGAATTATGAACATGAAAAAATGGAAGAAATACATTGAAAATTCGCATTCTCTATGTGATAAAAATATAGATTCCAACAAAAAACAACTACTTTCCTGGCTATATGCCACGACTAACATTGAATTGTATCTATTGAACACACAGGATAAGAATTTGAAATCTTCTGAAGTTTAGAATTGAAATGGCGTCCACTTTTTGACGAGTACATTCCGAAACAAGACTTGTTTTACGAATCCAACGTAACTATTTTTTTGCGATTGGAATAAATATGAGGAGGTGAATTGAATATTACTAGGGAGAATACTGTATAATAACTCAGATATTTTTGTCAAGTCTGTCATGGATAACAATGATGCATAACATTTCGCAATTATTCTCATCAAGTCTTCTTTGTTGAACAATCCACTTACTTCAGGAAATGACACTGACATAAGTTTTATGAGCAAACATTGGAAGTGACTCTGAAAAACAATCAGGCGTCGAAAGTCTTGTGAAAGTCACATTCTGATCCAGTTTTCTCTCAGAAATCAAAATAAATGTCTCAATAAACAGGGTGTTCCATTTGTTAAATCAAATCCGTAGCTATTCGCGGTGAAACCAGAAGTGACTCAAAAGTGAAATGATTTGTTGACACTCGGTAGATGGAAGAAATGTCTTTATTTGTGTGTCATATCATGATAACAGGTGTATTGAAAATGTCACTCTCATGACGCTTCAGTGACGTATTGATGACGTCTGAAAATTACGTCGAGGTGACGTATAGATAAAAGGAGAATACATGGATATAAGTTACTCAACAAAGTGGAACTTAATTTGCCAATATTCTTGGTTTATTGATCACATCTCGCCGACACTCACTACCTAATTATTGATACAAATACTAGTAATTGATATAATTCGGTTGGAGATGCGTACTAAGGATTGCGCCATTGAAAAATTGATTGAATTTACATGACACTCGAGAGACCACCAACTAGTGACAATAATGCATAATCGATATCAGATGTCATCAGAAGTCAGTGGTGTATTATTATCACACCATTATTGAGAACACTTTTTTACTTTTCATCACGTTTCATTAAGTGTCCTTTTCACTTCATTTAGAGTATTCGGATTTTTCTCAGTTGGAATACTGCCAGTCGGGCAACCAGACCTAGAACCAGACATTCTCATTTCATGGGAATTCGTTTTGGAGTGTTTCTTTCCTTCTGCTCAGGTGGCGTTCGTGTCCTTGTCGCGGATGCGGTACGCCCCTTGGGTAATAAATGCTGGGATGCGTTTACGTTGGGTCAGGTTCGTACCAGATAGCGGTCATGAATGCCATCTGGGATAGCCCCGCACTGATAGGAACCGAAAGCTCGAAACAAGTCTGCAGGTAGACGAGCGTTCCTGAACCACTTAGGCGCAGCTTGGCATTCAGGAAAGAAAACTTGCAATTTTATTCGTCTATACGAACTGTTGCACAGATATCGGGAGGATGTGATTCAATGTTCTGCGAGTCATCTAGCCAGGAAAGTAGAAAGGAGTTGTTGTTTTCTCGTTATCTACCAATTTCGTTTATTTATGAACATCTGTGGAAATGACTTCGAGCGTCGCGCTCCCATTTATTCATTATTGGTCGAAACGGCTCACATGTTCCTACCACAACTTTTCATTTACGATTTACATCAAGATTCATAATTCTGATTACCCTGTATCTGTTCCAATTAAATGTCAGCAGATAGTGAATGGAAAGTGAAGAGGGACTTGAAAGCTGTTTATACCGATAATTGATAGTTTCGATACAAAAAAATCTTAAATTCGAAAAATCGTGATTTTGAACACCCTATATCTCTATGATCATTTCCGCTTGAACGCAAGTGTGATACATCGATGAAATCAGCTTTTCAGAAAAAATATATAAATGCAATGAGATACAAGGTGTTTCATTTCAAATATCGAAGTTGCAGATACTATCTGGTAAAAGCGGCAACGCTGAATTACTGAAAATATTTTGAATCGATAGATAGAGAGCACTTCTTGAGTAATCGAAATTCCAGAATGATTCTATGTCCCGTTTTGGTATAGACTTTTGATTTCCATTTAATTGATATCGGGGTGGTATGCAGAAACCTCTACCAAAAAATTATATTTATTTTTTGAGGATATTTCATTTTCGAACTGGAGTCATGGCCAACTACGATCATTACATCAATAATGTCAAAAAGTACTATTCTAAATTTATTTCGGAAAAACCGATGATGAATTCTCTCAAATATAATCTTTTGTACCTACCTCTGAAATACAGGATTGAAAATATATTCCATTCCATCAGAACACTCATTATTTTAGAATCTTCTCTACTCAATGTTTCTGTAATACATTAATAAGACTACCTTGCCTACAGAATTTATTAATAATTTGTGAATCTGAAAATATTGTATATAAAGCTTCATGACCACCGAGAAAGAAATGAAAAAAATCATACCATCTTGTCTGCCAGTATTACTAGTGTTCGTGTAGAAATAACACCTATATTTAATTGAAAAAAAATATAAATTTTTCTGAATATTGCTTTTGTCACTTCTATCTGCAACATCTCATGTTAGGAAATAACCTGAGTTCATAAAAACGAAAACAAACCATGCACATATCATTCTCTAGAGAATGAATGCTTGACTGGCAAATTTTGATATCAGAAAACTATAAATATCATATCTCCTCCGAATCCTGATTATTCTTGGGAAACTCATCAACCAAGGAGAAATTATTATTTCGATTGGCAGATAGTATCCCTTGAATCCAATTGTTGTCAAGTAGCATTTTCACTTACAGTTTGAAACATTAACACTTTCTACTTCAGGTCACAAGAGTCACGCATGCAGAATCCGCAGAACTCCAACTTATCCAAAGGCAAGAATAGACAAGGAAAAACTGTCAGACTGAACATCAACGCCAGAGAAAGGAGGAGAATGCATGATTTGAATGATGCCTTGGATGAATTAAGGTACCTGCCAGTAATAATTTCATGCCAACTATTTCCCATTCTTGCTTTTATGTTTATTCTGAAATCATGGGGAAGGGGAAGCTCAGGAGAAAATTCAACAGTTAGATGCCTAGTCATTTTCTCCAAGCTGAATGAAGGTGGCGGGTCATTATCACTTTTCGTATAATGTAATGTATGTTATACCAATATTTGAAGAGATGGTGCACGGACATTTTCGATATCAGATGTATCTGCTGCTGCTTTCGGAAAACTCATACTTGAAATTGCCGCAATCACTTCAATCGATGATAATAAAATGTTGACGTTAGATACTGATGTTTCCAATTTTGCAATTACTATTTCAACAGAGCAGACCCGTTGCATTATTTTGAATTTCATCATGCGCTGGCATCTTGAATTTTCCTGCTACAAACGTGACATCGTGTATAGGCCAGGAAAAGAAAATATAGTAGCTGACACTTTTTCGAGAATATATTGAATAACTGACGCCGAAGAGCTCGAAATCTCTATAGATTGCATGATTCCTTGTGTAATCCTAGTGTAACTCGCACATTCCATTGGATTAGGTGTTAGAATTCACCCTATTCCTTGAAAGAAGTACGAAAAATTACATCATCATATATACTGTTTGTGCGAAGTACTTTGATCAAAGCCACATCAGCTTTCAGAAGAGCTTCACCATCTTCAACACGTGATCGGTATATGTTAATGGTAGCCGATGAATATTCAAGGAAATGGTCAATGTGAAAGATATGATGAAATAATATAAATAATAATTCCACTCGTGATGAAGTTCTTAAAGATGCTTCATAACGTTTATTCGCTCATTAACGTAAATCGCCTAATGGATCATCAATGCCAACATGGTTTTCTGCTCTATAGGTAAAGTATTCATGAAGAAATATATCAGAACAAATAAGAATGATCAACTGGCCGAAGAAGGTAAACTGCTCAAATCAAATTCTTGACTGCCAAGTGAAAGAGAAACTTTAGTCTCCATCAGACATTTGGCTCCTTGAGGAAATGAAATCTAAATATTCAAGACAGGAATTGTCAAACTCGTAATTGGAAACCTCCTGAATATCTTGATGATTTCCTTCGAATTTGAAGGACAGTAGAATGTTATGAAACGCTACTGTCACTCAGTATACCCCAAATGTTCACTTGCAAATCTGACAAGGGTTATTGTGATTCATGTTAATTGAAGCCTATATTTCTCCCAAATTCTCATTAGTACACTCACCTTCACGAAATGTAATAGATATTTACGTAACCAGTTAGGTAATGCGCCATTCCTTGTGACGATAAGATTTTGCAGGAAGAGCGAAGCGACATACCTAAACTGGTCAGATTGATAATTTCGATGCATTGTATCGAGAATTTCATTATTTATGCTATTTCGTTGGTCAGTTCCAAGATTCCTTCATACGACAGAATATGGCGTTTGACAACAGGATTCCGAATGACACGATAAACATTACATCAACGGTTATAAAATCTTTTACTTTACGCAACTCGTCGCCCGAATAATAAGATATTGACTCGGATATTGATATAGTAGAGGGTTCTATCTGCCGACTTCTTCATTTTGAAAGGTCAATCATCGCAATCTGTTGGAATTCAAGTGAATTAGTCATAATGCACAGTTCTAACTACAGAACGCTTCTCTCCGAATTCGGTGTAATTACATCCTTACCTAATGATTTGGTGTATCTTAGTTCTATCTACATCCAGATAGAACTCTTCATTTCATTATACCAATACATATACACCCTTAATTGTTATCCTAGTTTATAATCATCAAACATTCACAGTCATATCGATAAGTACACATGAATTAAACTGATTTTTGTTCACCTTCATCTTTCATCAATAATTTTAAAGCTCCATTGATAGAAGGTGAGAGCAATTTGAAAAATGAGAGCTGCATAAACGAGACTGGCAAAAACTATTTCGTCTCATTTCTGAAAGAACTAAGTTGAATCAGACATTTTGTAACATCCCCATTCCGATAATTCGAAATATTCATATGAAAATATGTACGTGCCTGCAATTTTTTACTATTATTACTAATCATATACATATACTTATACCTAATGTACATTGAATCAAAAATGTATCTGATGGTACTAAGAATATTTCGAATCAGCTTACACGTATAATTTCATATGTTGAATGTCAAAACTCCACAAACGATAAGATTTCCACAAAATTCTCAAACACACGACATGTTCCGCTAACACAGTAGCTTCGTCAGGTGGATTTACTGGTACGATGAACTAAACTAACATTGGCTTGCTTATATATCCTACTCTCCTCACCTGAAGGATAAGTTACCTGTGGACAGGGTCGATAAACCTCCATTTTCGGAAATTAGGCACAATAACTACATTAAAATACGGTGTATCGGATCAACTTGAAAGGGTTGATATCAGATAGATGTTATTACTTACTGAGAAATCAATTTCAACAGTGGTGAAATATTGAGGTCTAATTGATCGTTGTCAGAATTTTTGAGTTTGTTGATTTCTAATGATTCAAAATGATTGAGTTTCATTCCTTTATTTTCTACGTGTAGAATTTCGGAATTTTCATCAAAACCATGGTTGGCGTATGTTGAATTTGTTTTCTTTATCAAAAAATTCATCTTATTTTCATGAATGCGCTGATTAAACGTACGACCTGTCTGACCGATATACAGGGTGATTCAAAAGTAAGCGGCATCCTTTCAGAGGCGTATTCCTTGCATGAAAATAAGGCAAAAAGTTCCTATTGATAAGGATCCGAAAATGCTTCCTAAGGGAGCTACGGCCCTTTGAATAGGACACCTCAAAGACGGTTTTTTCTCTATAACTTTAAAATCCTTCACAACAAATTTTTAAAAATTGGTGTACGGCATAAACATTCGATGGTAAATAGGACTCCGTATTCGAAATAATTTCCAAACGAAATCACAGTAACCTGAATATCCGGAGAAGAAGGGATATTTTTACACTTACCCTCTCCCGCATGTGACGCCCCTGAATGAAATTCTGAAATTTCGAATACGGAGTCCTATTTACCATCGAATGTTTATGCCGTACACCAATTTTTAAAAATTTGTTGTGAAGGATTTTAAAGTTATAGAGAAAAAACCGTCTTTGAGGTGTCCTATTCAAAGGGCCGTAGCTCCCTTAGGAAGCATTTTCGGATCCTTATCAATAGGAACTTTTTGCCTTATTTTCAAGCAAGGAATACGCCTCTGAAAGGATGCCGCTTACTTTTGAATCACCCTGTATACCTTAGGACAAGATCCACAGTTGAGTTTGTATACACCTGATTTTTCGAATTTAGAAGTTTTGTCTTTATTATTCATTTATACATATACACCCTCAATTGTTATCCCAGTTTATAATCATCAGACACTCACAGTCATATTTTTAAGAAGTACATATAAATCAAACTGATTTATGTTCACTTTCATCTCTCATCAAGAATTTGAAAGCAGTGAATAAAAAAACCATATTGCATCTAATAGCTGAAAGTTACCGATTTCAAAGATTTTCAAAGTTGTGCCAAGATACTTCAATACCAAAATATCCTCTTTTCCTAAGTTGCTCCATTGATAGAAGGTGAACGCAATTGAAAAAATGAGTGCTGCATAAACGTGACTGACATTGCTTTTATGAAAATTCTAAGTTTAAGCAGACATTTTGTACTTCTCTATTCCGATAATTCGAAATATTCCTTCGAAAATCCGCAATGTTTCACTATTATTACGAATCATACACATAATACTTATACCTAATATACATTGAATCACAAATGTATCTGATGATACTAAGAACATTTCAAATTAGCTTTCTCGTATAATTTTATGGAAAAAAGACGCATCTTATTGTATATGTGTCAGTTGAATTACCTGAATGAAAAATTCCCAGGTAGCACAGGTTAGTGAAATGACATGACGTATTTTTTGGGTCATTATTGGTCAATGACGTCCTCGACTTCAGAGGGACCAAAAAATGGCGTCATATTTCATGACGTCCCAAGTAGCACACATATATTGGGACAATATCGGTGCAATATTACGGAAATATCGGCAAAATATTGTGAAAGTAATATTGGCGAGAAAAAAAATGTGAACATTCGGCGATATTGGTACAATATCAGTTTCCAAATGTTGGTAGAATATTCTCATATTAATATTGGTTCAATATTCGTAGAGTTATATCGGACACAAAATGTAATATCAATATTGGCGAGAAATCAATGGTGAACATTCGGCAATATTGGTGTAATATATGGAAATATCGGTGAATCATTGAAAATCATCATGAAGGTATGTTGTCTCAGAAATATTGGTAGAATATTCTCATATCAATATTGCTGGAATATTCGTGAAGTTATATTGGTCACAAAATGTGATATCAATATTGCTGATAAATGGACAGTGAACATTTGACAATACTGGTGCAATATTGGTTATAAATATTGGTACATTATTGAAAATCATTATGTAGCTATGTTGTCTTCAAAATATTGGTGGAATATTTTCATACCAATATTTGCGAGTTATTCGCATCAGGAATAATCACAAAGGCCAGCCCAGCCGGAGTGCAATGAAAGGGCCTTGCATTGGGGAAGCCTCCTTGTTGATCACGGTTAACCCCTACTCCAGGTTATAATACTTTACAATCGTCTAGAGCTAATATTTATATTCTCTCGTCTGATCGGCGATGGGAGTACGTTACCAATCATTTATAGCGCCATCTATCGACATCGATTTGGGAGTGCGTAATATGGAATAAATATCGAAATTTCGATATCGATATGTATTCTCAAAACAAAATGTGAACAATATTGCTCACATGATATAGTGAATCACATATCAGCCAATATAAGATGATATTATTTTCTGAATATTGCTAGAAAACTATTCACCCGATATGCAATTGAACTTGAAATTACAATATTGTTTTTTTCTTCTATGTCCGATATAAGATGTATATTGAATTGCTGTTATTGATATTCATATTTGAATCATTGAAAACCCCTTCAGAATCGACATGGGGAGAATGTTCAAATTGCGATATTGGTTATGATTGTTGGAAACAATATGTATACGATATTTCCCGCATGATATCAATTGAAACAGTATTCATCCAATTTGCTGTCGAATCCGATTACACAATATTGTATATCCGCTTCAGAATCGACATGAGGAGAATGTTTGAATTGCGATATTGGTTATAGTTGTTGGAAACAATATGTGTGCGATATCTTCCGCACGATATAGTTGGAATGATATCAGTCAATATTGGTAAATTCTATGTTCCAAATATTGTTGAAACAATATTCTACCAATATGCCGTCGAACTCGAACATACAATATTTCATAACCGCTTCAGAATTGACATGGGGAGAATGTTCAAATTGCTATATTGGTTATAATTGTTGGAAACAATATGTATACGATATCTTCCGCATGATATGGATAGAATGATATTAATCAAGATAAGTGAATATGATATTTCGAATATTGTTGAAACAATATTCAACCAATATGCCGTCGAACTCAAATACACAATATTGCACAACCGCTTCTGAATCAACATGGGGACAATATTCAAATCGCGATATTGGTTATAAATGTAAGAAGCAAATTGTATACGATATCTTCCGCATGATATAGATAAAATGATATCAATCAAGATGGGTGAATATATAATGTTTCAAATATTGTTAAAACAATATCCAGCCGATATGCCGTTCAACTTGAATATACAATATTGCATAACCGCTTCAGAATCGACATGGGGAGAATGTTCAAATTGCAATATTGGTTGTAAATGTCGGGAACAATATGTATACGATGTTGTTGTATCGACATTCGTAAAACAATATTATATAACATTCATAGATATGTTTTTCAACACATTGTCAACGAATTTTACAACCTATATTGCTCCAATATTGTAGCTGACAATCCATATTCAGCTCAGGTTGAACCAATATTCCACCAATATTATCATTCCAATATTGTTTGTCCAATATACTCTCATATTGGACCTATATTATTTTTCACATGTACGATATATCTATATCGGCCCAATATGAAATCGGGTTCCAGCCAATATGATGTGCTACCTGGGGTCTTATTGACGTTCAATATTGGACGTCTTAATGACGTCCCTACAAAGTCGTATATTCGACCAAATAAGAAAAATCAATCGCATTCTCACCTTCTCATCGTTTGTTAATTGTACGTACTAAATTTGTGTTTGTATATACAGTGTTCTCGTAAGTACTGATGAACAAATTTATTTTTACCCAAATTATGCATTTTTGAGGAACCTGCTGAAAACGGTCGATTTTCATTTTCAATTTGCCATATTTATGAGAAAAATAGAATATACATACATGGTGATCCACGTTTGAGTTATGACTATCACGACAATTTTTTTTGAATAGAGCACCCTATATATATAACTCAATCATTAGAATAACCATGGGAAGCGGAATTCGAAAATTTTTAACCAGGTTTAACACAATCATGTGGATTGTATAGGTAAGTGCGTCCAATAAATGAAATGCTCTCTTGAAGTAGTGGATAAATTCATTTATTATCCAATATCTATCTACCTTACATATTTCTGAGAAAACAGGAGAGGCTTTTATTTCTAATTTGACACATTTATTACGACAAATCATCAAATATACAGGATGATGCACGTTTGTATTATTACGTAAACGACACATTTTCCAAACGGATATATATTATTGAATTTTCGTAATCAAATGTATATCACACAAAGAGTTTGTATACAGGGCGTTCGTTAAATTCAGTTCTCTAGTAAAATTGGATCGTCATTAAAAAATAAAGATGACGTAATTTCTCCTACACGAATATCATTCTGTATATATTGATTTGAATGAGAATAAAATTCTACGGCTTCGAACGTTATTCTCTCAAAAAATAATATTTTTTCAATTCTCAACGAATTTATTCGCAACTTCACAAAAGAACTTTATTCAACGAACGCACTGTATACAAACTCATATATTTTTGAATCCAGCTTTCCATAGAGACTTTAAAAATCGAATAATTCATATAGGGTGTTCCTTTGAAAAAATGGTCGCGGACGTTGTAACTCAAACTTGAATCACCCTGTATGTTCAATTTTTTCTCAATAATGTTGGTAATTTATAATGAAAATAGACCTATTTTGAGAGATTCCTCAGAAAGGAATTGTATGGTTATAAGTACATTAATCGGCTACTTTATTTACTTCACGCGAGAACACTCAATTTAACGGACACACTGTATACAAACCCCATGTGTAATATTATTTCAAATTCAGATTCCCATGAATATTTTAAGAATGAATGTATCTAATATAGGTTATTATTGTTTCTAATTGAAAAAATTGCCGCAAACGTCTTAACTTAAACGTGGATCACCCTGTATATATATGATTGTTTCTTTCAAATGTGGCAAATCGAAAATAAAATCGACCTGTTGCAGAGGATTTCTCAGAAATGGATAGTTTAGCCAAAAATGAGCTTATTCAGCTTACATCTCGCCAACGCTCGCTACATTATTTCAGGTACAAATACGAGTATCTAACGATATTGTCATATAGAGATTCATAGGTAGTAGTGATGGCGCTAGGATTCAACAGGACTGCCCGAGAGGAACATCAACCAAGTGACCACAACGTATATAGTTACAAAATGGATGTCATCAAAGGTTTGTGGTGTAATTATGTACCAATAATACCGTATAATATATAAACCTAATTATTTCTATTTCGTCCCTTATTGGTCATTCTGCGACGTCATTATGACGTCTAAATATGACGTCAAATGGCTGTGACATTTTGACGTCATTATAGGGTCTCTCAGACGTCATTTTTGGAGGTCCACTTCCACAAAAAATGACGTCAATTGGACGTCACTCTGCTACCTGGGTTCTTCTGGAACAAAGTTGTCTCTACATTTCAGATCTTCCAATTGACATTCATACGAGAATAGGAGGAGAAAAAGAATCAACTAACAAGAAATTCAACCCAATCAGAACAGAAAATCTGATCGACTGAAATGAAACGGAATAGATGGAATCGAAAGTTCGCATCACTATTCTAAGCAACTATACTTGGTCCAGATAGTACCGTATTATTCTAGGGCGACGAACTGGTCACGTGGAGTAGGACGTTATTAAAACTTCTATTGGTTTTGAAAAGTGTCATATTACATGTAAAAATTAGAAAGATCTTACATTTTCTCTCCGCTGAACTGTCCTAATGCAATATTCATTTCATTTTGTTGATGAATTCAAATCTTCTTGATAGATTATGATTTTTTCCAACAGATCAGTTATACCGTACGCACACTCCCCCTCCGTCCGGAAGCTCTCCAAAATAGCCACCCTCCTGCTGGCCAAGAACTACATCCTCATGCAGGCCAACGCCCTGGAAGAAATGAAGCGCCTGATCGCCTACCTGCAAGGCACTGCCGGAGCGACGGTCGGCTCGGCGATAGTTGCGCCCCCAGGCTTCGACCTGCAAGGCTTTCCTGCTGCCGCCAAGTTCCTGCAGCAGCAGGAGAACGCGCGAAGCAACGTGGGCAGCGGTGGCGGATCGGGGCCACCTGCTATTTGAGATATACAGGTCGTGTCGTAGTCTGTTAGTTAAGGACTAGTAGTCAGGGGAAGATTGAGAAGAAAATCGGACCGTTTCTACTCAACAATTTCAAATTAATGCACATTTTTCACATGAAATAACAAGAAAATAATAACATCGATCTCATTCACTCACTGCAGGAGCGATTATTGGCTCTGCGGTAGTAACGCCTTCAGGGTTTGACCTGCGAAGTTTCTCTGCTGCTGCCAAGTTCTTGCAGCAGCAGAAAAATGCGAGGAGCCACGTGGGCAGTGGTGGTGGATCGGGGCCACCTGCTATTTGAGATATGAAGGTCGTGTCGTAGTCTATTAGTTAAGGACTAGTAGTCAGGGGAAGATTGAGAAAAAAATCGGACCGTTTCTACTTAACAAACTCATGTAAATGCACATTTATAACATGAAATAACAGGAGAATTAGAACATCAAAATCATCCACTCACTGCTGGAGCGACGATCGGCTCGGCGATATTGGCGCCTTCGGGGTTTGACCTGCGAAGTTTCTCTGCTGCTGCCAAGTTCTTGCAGCAGCAGGAAAGTGCGAGAAGCAACGTGAGCAGTGATGATGAATCGGGGCCGCCTGCTGTTGGAAGTCTGAAGGTCGTGTCGTAGTCTGTTAGTTGAGGACTAGTAGTCAGGGGAAGATTGAGAAGAAGATCGGACCGTTTCTACTCAACAATTTCAAATTGATGCACATTTTCCACATGAAACACCAGGAGAATTATAACATCAATATCATTCACTCACTGCCGGAGCGATGGTCGGCTCGGCGATTGTGGCGCCTTCGGGGTTTGACCTGCGAGGCTTTTCTGCTGGTGCGAAGTACTTGCTGCAGCAGCAGGAAAGCGCGAGAAGCAACGTGGGCAGTTATGGTGGATCGGGGCCGCCTGCTATTGGAAGTCTGAAGGTCGTCTCGTCGTCTACGCCATTCGACATAGCGGAAAATTCCGTTTCTGATGACATAGGACACGTTTTTTTCTAAAATCTATATGACGACACTTTCATTGATCGAATTGTCCTCAAGCGACCCAATAAAATATTAGATAAACGAAGCACTACGATGACATACTGATGAAACACCTGAATACTGCTGGAGTGAATGTCGGCTCGGCGATAGTAACGCCCTGGGCTTCGACCTGCAGAGCTTTTCTGCGGCCGCCAAGTTCCTGCAGCTGCAGAAGAACGGAACGAGCTGAGTGAATGAGTCTGATGTTATTATTTTCCTGTTATTCCATATATACAGCATTTTATTGAGCATGAAATGTTACAACTTTGCCCTAATTTGACCTACTCAGGTTATCGAGAATCCCATGCTTACCCACTAGCTTGTAACACCCTGTAGAAGTTATTCAATGGGTTATTTTTCATCGACATTACTTCTTTTTTTCTCCTATGACTACTAGACTTTATATTTATATTTGTACAATAATTATTTCAAGTTAGGGTTTGCTCAAATCTGTTCTAATATTGCCTTGTCTATTTTATGGGGTGATGAAAACTACTACCTACATACATAATATGGTGTAATAACTAATGATGATGGAAGTATTCCCAAGAACTCAAAACCTCCAAGAATTCTAAAAAAATCCAACACATACCTCCTCTTCCTATTATAATGCATTACTTTCATTTTTATCAATTAATTATTCAATTATTGCAATCCATCGTTATTTCCAGCACTGGAAACACTTTTTATATTATCAACTGATTGAACACATACGTATGTAAGTGGCTCAATACTCAATTATCCGATTCACACACAAATGACTCGAAATCAAAATGTTCATTTTCGATTTCCAGGTGACTAATTTCATCAAGAATCAATTTTGTCTTCTGAAACGTTCATTTTTTATTCACCTAATAATTCAGTGAATATACTTTCGAAATCATTGAATATCATATTCATTGGAACTGCATTGAATTTTCATGACCCCATGAACATGTCCCAATCTAGTCAACGAGAAATGCTTTTGAGTGTGACATTTTTCACACTGAAATGTATGATGCCCTGAGTATAGGTAACATATATGATAATTATTATGAAATCGATTGTGATGGGTGATGCAATAGAGAAATGTTCAGATCAATAAAGGGTGAGTGAGTATTCACCGTGATCTATTGGTCTATTAATTCACTGTTAATATACAATGTGATTCGCTTCCCATGGAGGGTCATAGTATCGTTACTCGTTCAGCGACAGGCTGAGAGTGCGGTGGCCCAGGGTTCGATTCCTAGCGCCGAGCCTTTTTTTAATTCACATCGCTGAACGTTATTTGTACTCATGCATACAACAAGAATGAATGATGTGTTCACAGATAATTCGTATGTTGTGTACATTTTTAGTTGTCTGAAAGTATCTCGGTTAGTGAAAATAGGTTTGAATTTCAATTTAATGGGCGTGTACACCTTAGTAGAACTTTTAACTCAAACCATGTTTATAATGATCCTTTTATACATAAATAATGATTGACGACATAATTCGATCAAAAAATTAACTGGAATGTTTTATTTTTGGACCTAAATGATAGTACCTTCTGAAAACGGACACCCTCTTATGACGTAGAAACCCCATAGGCGATGCGCCATATATAGAAATAGTAGATATATGGTTGAAACTGACACTCTCCTGACACTTATTACTGTTGCCATATCATCCAAACAAAATATCCGAGAAATCGAAATCGATATTGAAATATCTTTTGATATCCACTACCACTACTGCAGAAAAATATATTCGAGTTGTCGATTGTAGGTTGAATCATTGGAGTATAAACAATCTCTAGACAACGAAATGTCTTAATCTCAAAACCATTTGCACCATTACAATTTCACAATAATCCAATATATTTCATAAACATAGCAACATTGCTTTGTTGACCCGTTTCACATGGAGCTGCAAAAAGTCAATCTAGGTTAGAATTGATTTGTCAGAAATCATGTATCATTCATCTCTGTCTGGAATAGTCTTGTTTCAGTATTAGGGTTTTGACGTCACATCATCGCCTCGTTTTCAGAGGTCCGAAAAATCGGGGATTTCAATAATTTTTTATAAAACGTAGGGAGCTCACAGCAAGAAACGGTTTGCGGTGGTGAGCTAGTTTGGGTGAGTTCTATCGAATTATGAAATAAAATATTTTTGTGATATAAGCCCATTGCCTCGAATATCGATTCAAGGTCACTAAAAAGGTCACAAGAGAATATACTGAAACGAACATTTCATCAAATTTGGTACTATGGATTTGTCAAAAAAGCTGCAACTCATCACCTTGGTTTCTTCATCGGAAGGGCTCGTTCGAGGGGAGTCGGACAGTTCGACCACGGGCCAGGTACCTGTTTTAAGTACACCGATCAGTTGGACCACGACCGTTCTTCGAGCGGATTAAGGTTGTATTCTAAGAATTCAAACAATCACTATTTTCTCAAAATAATATGTTATTTATTATTGAGATGAATTATAATAAGACATAATTTTTACAAAATCTTTTTGTGATAAAAGGCCATTTCTTTATTCTGATATCTTAGCTTTAATAAAATCTTTTTTTCTACAAACGTCAAAAAATGACAAGGTTCGCGCATTGATAACAAACTGCGAAGTGACACTTTTTTTCAGTTTCCTACGTTACCATGATACCTTGCACATAACAATGCGCGAAGTAAAACAGTGCGCGAAGTACCTACTTCGCGCATTGTAATGTAAAATTAATGAGATATTTATATTTCAACTATATGGTCCTCAATCGAGCAAACATCCATGAAATCATTTATTTCTGAATGTTCAACAATAACTTTGTTTTATCTCTTGAGCGCACGAAAGGAAATTCGTATTATGTTCGTGGAACATCGTGCGTACCTAGGGAGGATAGGGGGAGGCCTTTAAAGCCAGTTCAACACTATTTTTTATATCTAGCTAAGCATATTTTTACTTTAGAACTATATTTTTTGACGTTTGTAGAAAAAATTTTGTTTGCAACTCGAGCGCGAAATACTTTGGTCATCTCGACTATTTATTCAACTCGGCTACGCCTCGTTAAAAAAATCAGATCTCGATCACCAAAGTAGCATTTCGCGCTCTAGATACAAAAATAACTATTTTTTTCTGTGTTGCACTTTTAGTTTTTTGGAGTAACATTTTACGGATATTATTTTAATATTCGTTTCTGCTTGAAAGTTCATTGAAATATTTACAAAATTAAACAAACTTGGGTGAGAACTATAAAAACTAGAATTAAAATGAGAATGAACTACTACTATCTGTAGTACAAGCCCACATACTTGGGGGAAAATGATTTCCTTCATCGATATAAGTTTCCACGATATAATCGCAAAATTTCGATAGACTTGGATTACTGGGCATTATTGAATGAATTTCTTCATGAGGGTCTAAAAGTGGAAAAGGTTGATTCAGGCTGAGTTAGGTTAGATTGTTTAGAAGAAGTAGTATTCCTTGTTCCCTCGAGCAATTCATCGAAGAATAAACTTTTCAGGAAGGATTATTTAGTCCGAGTTGGGTTAGATCGTTTTGAAAAAGTATAGCCTTTTTTACTCTCTCAAGTAATATTCAGAAAAATATTTCCTAGGAAGGAGGTTCATTTAGGCCGAGCAACGTTAGAATGTTCAGAAAAAGTAGTCTCCTTTCTAATGCAGAAAGGATATTTCCCTTCCTCATATTACGTATTCGGAATTCAGGAAGCCATAGAGGAAATGCTATAGCTAGACGCGTGTACTAGACATTGTGAGCCTAACGCACATTGTGTTTGGCCACAGTGCATTCTTCGGGTATGTTCGGAGACTGTGGGAATATCGAAATGTGGGACTTACGAAATGTGGGCATATCGAAATGTAGGAGTAACGCAATGTAGGCGTAACGAAATGTGGGCACTAAGCAATGTGGGTGTAACGAAATATATTATTAGGTAAATCGATTAGAAAATACAATTTCAACCTGGTCGAACTGCAGGGTAGGCTTAACTCGACCTTTTTCAAAAAAGGATTAATACAGGTACTCGTGGTCCAACTGACCGGTCCCCCGTTCGAGTTAAGGTGTATTATTCAAGTATCGGTAATTGCTCGAAGTAACATCATAAATTACTTATATCTCCATTTTTTCATTTTCATTCTCGCAGACGAATTCCTAACAGTTCAACATTGATAAAGCAGAGCATAAGTGTATCGAAGAACTAATGATGAACACAAGAATGTTTAGAAATGTCCATTTAAGTATGGTCGACAATCCGATACAGTTGAATTCGAAAGGAATAACTATAGAGAGATGAAAATTGTGTATATTATGGCGAATGGCTGAAAGAATAACTGGACTTCGGGTTGCAGAGGAGGGTTAGATATCCGAAATGAGTTCATTCCAACAAAGTCATAAAACCTGTTTGTGAGAGATATAATTCTCATATCACTGATACGAATGATTTTTTTGAAAGTTCTAAGCTCATCAAGATCAGAGTTTATACAAGTATACTCCGCCTATACATTTCAATTTCCAATTAAATACTTAACATATTGGTAAGTTATATTTTTATATCATAATTCATCATATTATTCATCCGAATTGAGGGAGAATGTCAATTCTCAACTTAAGGGGATTTTTATTTTTCATGCTTTCCTTTGAACATCCAGTTCAACAGTTATAATTCAATGTTCGACGTGGCAAATAGCCTGGAAATTGTTTCCTGTTGAATATTCATAATGATATTATGTGCGAGTACATATTCAGTTTTTTCTGAAGGAGAACGAATATTCTCAATTTCGGAAAATTTTGTTTTCGAATTCTTATCGTGTGTTCAATAGATATAATCCAATGTTCATCGTGACATGAAGCCATGAAAGTAAAGTTGTTTTTTTTAATGAACCAAGAAAGAATTGATATTTTCATTACATATAGACCAGGTAGCCGTGTGGACAGAGTGTCTATATTCTAATCCGCATTCGCTCGCCGGCGTGGGTTCGATTCCCGTCGACTGCAGAAATTTTTCTGATGGCCCAAGAAAGTGTTTGAGATCACACGTTAAAAGGTAAGGCCCCCGTCATTCCTTGCTCGCACAAGACTCTCGAAGACTTCTGAGGGTTGCTCGTAAGGGGGCAACCGAATGACGGATAGAACAATTTTAGATTTTTTTTTAGAAATTTCAATTCCATTCATTATTTCCATAATTTATCAGAGAATATTCCTTTTCAATAGTCAGTAAAGTTTGCAAAATGATCATTTGTATCTTTCTTACATCCTGTGGTACTGATTGTTAATTTTTCGAATCTCAAATGGGGGATCTATTACTTTTCAGACTGATTTTCAATAACTGAAGAATGAGAGTAAGGTTGAGGAATTTTGTTCCGATGAGATGTAAAACATGATATCGGGTATAGTAAATTTTTTTCTGGTTTGGTTATTAATCATTCAATTTTGAATGTTATGAAAATTACTTTAAATACGATATGTGATTCTTCAGAAACTCAAAATCTAAACGAACAAATGCCGGACTATACCTTACTTCAGTGATTTACAAGAGCAACTATATAGAGGTACATACTTGAAGAAAATGAGCAGCCAAATTTCATACCTACAAGGAACTTTCAATAGAAATCCATACTTTTGGCAACTCATCTGCAAGGCAAAATAATCTGAAGTGAGGTGACATTCAAATGAAGAAGGTAGGCTAGCCGAATGAATGATGAACATCTCAGTTAAGGCGTTGTATATATTACGCACGCTGCTTTTTGTCATGATGATACTGTTCAATCGTGGATACTGTCGAAAATATTGAATTAAAAGACATTGAAGAAACGGATCTTCTATATTCCATTCATTTGAATGTCAAAATCATCTGACATATAACAAGAAGGTGAGGTTACGTAGCAGAATTGAACATACACTAATTGAATTTGTTTTGAATGATATCTAATTCCGCTTGAAACGAGTAAGCATTTCTGATTTACCATGGCTTTTTATCTCAAACAGCTGTGATAACAATAATATGAGAGAATGACGATTCACTTGAAGGGTGATAGAATTCTCAAGGATGTTCAATTTCCGAAGAATCAACCAAAACAATTATTATTCAGAATTTGAAGGGATACCAATTTTCTATTCGTT